ATAACAACTCAATGTGTGAAAGATTTTACAGACACATCACAAAAGAAAGTATATAAGTGGCTAATACACACAAACGAAAAGGTGATCAACATCATTCTTTATTAGGAAAATGCAAATTATAAATATGTGATACATTACACACCCGTTAAAATGGCTAAAAATATAAAGACTGAGAAGACCAATAGGATTACGATATGATGAATTGGAAGTCTATTCTGTTGACAGGAATTGAAAATAACATGCCCACTTTGCAAATTTCTCTTAAAGTTTAAGATAATTTACCATATGATCCACAATTCTATTCCTAGGTGTTTAGTCAAGAGAAATGAAAATGCATGTCCTCCTAAATATTTGAGCCTGAATATTCATAGAAGATTTATTCATTATGGAGACAATCTAAATGTCCATCAGCATATGAGTAAAAAAGCAAGCGATGGTTCATTCACGTACTGGAATACTACAGCAATAAAATGAAATAAACTTCTGATATGTGTAACAACATGGCTGAATCTCAGAAACATTTTCCTCAGTTACATAAGCCAGACAAAAATGTACATAGTTTTGATTCCATGTATTTGAGGTTCCACAAAATACGGTTGCCCGGGCTTGCAGAAGGGAGTAGATTGATTCCAAAGGAGCTCAAGAGAACTTTGGGGTGTGATAGAATCTGTCTCTTTAGTGATGGTTATACCATATATACATTTGTCAAACTCATCAAATTCTATATTTTAAATGGGTAAGATTTTATTGTAAATAAATGATATCTCAATAAACTTAATAAAAATAATATCCAGCGTGGTGTAGCCAAGGCTTCTTTGGTGTGGCTTTTTCCAATCTAAACATCTGTGAACTAAAGGAGTAAGTTATTCTGCCCCCTCCCCCCCCATCCACCCATATAGGCAACACAGTGGTGAGAGAGGAACTGGACCTTCACTTAGAAAACTGAAAGTGCAACACATAGACAGTGACAGTTCTGCAGCATTCTGAAATCTAGCCAGACATCCTACCTGTTGCCTGTTTCTTTTTTAAAAAAATTATTTGTTTTTTTTAACAATATACTTTTATTGATTTCAGAGAGGAAGAGAGAGGGAGAGAGAGAGAGAGAAACATCAATGATGAGAAAACCATTGATCGGCTGCCCCCTGCATGCTCCCTACTGGGGATTGAGCCCACAACCTGGGCATGTGCCCTGACTGGGAATCTAACCATGACCTCCTGGTTCATAGGTCGATGCTCCACTGAGCCCTGCCAGCTGTGCCTTGATTAGGGCTTAGTGCTTCTTCCTGGGTTTGTTCTTCATGGCCTGGACTTTTCCCTCTGAATTACCTTTCTTTTACCACAAGAAGTGATTGTTTTAAGCCTAGTAGTTTTCTTAGCCTGCTTCCCATTTATAGAATTTGGGGACTCAGAAGCCTCTCTTCATTCTGAATGTTCTGTCCCTTTCACATGAAGCCATTCTGACCCCTTGGTTTTGGGGCTGCGTTTATGTTCTTTGCCTTTCTGGGGCATATAGCTTCTTATAAGTCATAATTTTCAAATGACCACCCGCACTGATGTTTAGCTTCCTCTCAGAGCAAGGAACTCCATCCCTGCCTCTGGTTTCCTGGTGAGTTTGACTTTATTCCTCTACTTTGTGGAACTTTGATTCCCTCCTACTCCTCTGCAGTCACACTTCCTGCTGCCTCTGGTTGTTTCTGGAACCAGGGCCTGGCAGACCTTCAGTTTCCATCCTTCTCACGGCATTGCATTTTTGTTCTTGCTCACAGTGGTGTCATGGGTTATTCTTTCAGGCTCTTCTCTGGCGCAGTCTTAACTGCCACTGTCACTACTGTATCTTTAACTCTTATTCTCCAAATTTTTGTCTTATTTGCTTCTGGAATTCATGTTATTTCGGCATTGGAGATTTTGAATGTATCGTCCTTATCTCTTGCATTTGCTCTTATTATTATTATATTCATTCCTTTATTTTCTCCTTTGTGTTCTTAGGGTTCTTTTTGAACTGTTCAATTTGCTGATCTGATTTTATGCTATATTTAGTCAGCTGTTCTTCCATTTTGGTTTTACAATTTGATAATCATATTTTTCATTTGTAAGCACATTTTTATGATCACAGATTGTTCATTTCCTTTCTACAGCTGAAATGTTCACCTGAATCACAGTCAGAGCACAGATTAAAAATACATTTTATAAGTTTCTCCCTTTAACAGTACATTTTCTTTTGTAGGAGGACATGTGATTGCTCTTTAGGCTTTTAACTCTTATATGTATCATTGGTTATCTCTTTCTCTTTGTAGGGACCAAGTCTCTGTTCCTCTAGTATTTGGAACAACAGAGGTGCTGAGCAAATGTTTCTGAATTCCTGTTGAAATATTTTAGCATTAGGGAAAAGTGAAAGGAAAAAATGGCTATTTCCTATACCCAATTTGCTATTACGAGGAGTGAAAAGGCATTTGATGCCAGGGCTTCTTCTAATGTGCTGGAGCTTTTCTGGCTGTTAGTTCGGGCACCCTCAGGTTAATCAAGCCATAGTTCCTCTTTTCTAATTGGCCAAGTACCATAATCATGAGCTCGCTGTAATCACGCCCCCTGTGCTAATTGTAGGCTGTCTTCATGAGCACCAGGGCTTGCTAGTCTGTTACCCTTCAGAAGAAGGTTTATAGGGTTGAGCTTTGCCTTCTATCCTCTGTCTCACTGTTCACCTTGACCTCCAGCCCCATCTCTGTGATTCTGAGCTACCTTTGTGCGTACTTACAGTTTCAGTTAATTGTGTTACCAGCGTGAATCAGCCTCGGTGACCAGAAATGAAATATCTAGGCCTAATGTCCTAAGTTTCTTGTGCCAGCTAGATTTTAGTGCTGATACCGACCTTCCTCTTTTCCTTGGTTCAGCCGCCTTCACCTGGAGCTGGCTCAGGAAGCCTCTGCTCCACTTGGCCTGCGTTGGCACGTGTTCTGGGGCAATAGAATGCATTTGGTTTTGGACATGTTGAAATGGAGGTGGGGCTATTTAACTTGTATTTGTAATGGGGTTGGAGGCAGAGAGAGCAATTGGGACGAATATGTGAGTTTGGTAATCCAAACTTCTTACTGTTTAAAAAACTAATAGCATATTGGATTGTCCAGGGAAAGCATGTACAAGGGAAGTAGGTAAGACTCGGCACAGGCATCTGGGATTTTAGCTGGTATGGGATGTGGAGTGTGGAAACTAGTGAAGGTTTCTGTGAAGATTTCCCAAGGAGAGAACCAGGGAAGAATGGTTCTGTGGAGCCAATGAACATGGCAGCTTTAAAACACTGTCCCTCATGCCTTGGTGAGATTAACTAGGGAGGATAAGGACGTTAATGCCTCATTTGCTTGAGCAACTAGGAGATGGTTGATGACTTTACATACAGCACTTTCAGGGTGAGTGGAAGGCAAATTGCTGATGGAAGAGTATATGGTCAGGGCATGGGCCCAATAACTTACTTTGAAAATTTATTGTGATGAGAAACAGGAAGATTGGTACAGAGGACGCTACAAGTGAGGTAGAAGGCTGTGTTGTTTTATGTATGCACCCTGTGTAATAAACCAATAAATGTTTCAGTTCTTCTTTTTATTAATATTTTCTATGAGAAGAATTACTTTTAATATTTAAGCATTTTTCAATTTTTAAATATAGCTCCTTTTTATGACTGTTTAATCTATTCTTAAAGAAGAACAGGCCACTGCTTAGTTTAATATATCAGGCTGCCTCTTCCCACACTGAGTATTAAATGATTCTATCAGCTCTAGCACATTGGCTTATGAGATTATTTTCAAAATATTTATCTACTTTTTTCATTTATTTTTAACTATTTGGCTATGTGGGATATTGAGTAGGGGTATACAAAACGGATAGCTCTTTTGAAAATAGCTTTCCCAGACATTCTAAATTATTTTGTAACTAAGGAATATTATTCTATTAGAGTTACTACCAAAAAAACACATTCAGTGTAGTCTTGAGTTACTATTTTATCTTTTTGGAATACTTAGTACAGCTCACTGTTTGTGAAGGAAATCCTGACATGGCTTGTGGTTGAAGGTTAGTGACTTTAATTCATTATATAATGGTTAGTTTCCATTTCACAAATATTGAAGCAGCTGTTCAGAGAACAGATATTTGTAGTCATGGAACTTTCATTGAAGCAATGTGAGTAAACGTGTAGAGTAGACTACCAGGCTAGGGTAGAATATTGAGAATGGTATTTTTATATTGTGTTTTACATTGGATCACATGTTGTACTTACCATATTTTACCTGAATTAACATGGTGCACTTAAATTTAATTTTTATTATTATTATTGATTTTTAGAGATGGAGGGAGGGAGGGAGAGAAAGAGGGTGGGGGTAGAGGGAGAGAAAGATCGATTGGCTGCCTCCACACGAAACCCTGTCATGTGCCCTGATTAGGAGTTGAACCAGTAACCTTTTGGTGCACAGGATGATGCCCACCCAACGGAGCCACATCGGCCAGGGTGACATGGTGCATTTTTAAATTGAAGACTTCGATTTATCTGTGGTTTCTGACAAGGTTCCAAATTAATTCAGACTTTCGACATAAAGGTTTCGTTATTTTATATATTTTTAGGTTTCATCTTCATATGGAACATGAATTCCACAAAACTTGCTAACCTTTTAAAATAATTATCTAAGAATATATGCTTTATTTTTTTCTCTTCCTACATTTAGGGTAAGGTGAATGGAGGAGAACATTTTAAATGCATGTAGTTATTATATTCCTACTTAAAGATCGCATTTGTTTGTAAGCAAGTATGTGGCTTTTAGGTGACATCCTATTTATAGTTTAAATGAAATAAAATGTGAGAAATATAAGTTATTTGGATTTTTTCTTTGCTACTGAAACATCATTGTTAATATAAATAATCATCTCATCCCAAGAAAACTTGGTAAGCTTCGATTTGAAAATTCCATGTCCTCCGAATACCCCCAATTCTGATTGTTACTATGTTTGTCTGTCCATAGGGAACAGTACACTGCGAAACTCCAAAGGACATCACATTCTAGGAGTCCAACCTACAGAGAAGACGGACAACATGTTACCCAAAAGAGTTGTGTAAGATCAGATTCTACTTCTGTTTGTTTGTTGCTTTAACTCCACAAACTTTTAGTTTCATATTATCGAAGTTCCAACAATGACTTAGAAACAGCAAATAAGTACTGAAAGTTTTGGTGACCATCCTGATGTCAAAGAAATGGTGTATTTGGAATATTCCACACTGTTCCTCCTGCTTTCTCAGTAATTCTAAGGCATCATGTTAATCAGTCTGTTGTTTTTCTTGTGTATCAAAGAATAGCTTTGGAAAGCTATTCGTTTTTTAGATATATTTTTACTTTTTTATTCAGTGTATGTATAAAAATCATGAAACAGTTGTCATAAACTTAAGAAGTTGGGATTAACTTGTAGTGAAATAGGAGACACTGCCTTTCTGATGAAGTGAACTGTTTATATCTTGACCTATGAATTCCTCTCTTGCATCTAATTGCCATAGATCAGTCGCATAAATAACAGATTTAGTTTGAACAAGGTACCAATGAGGATTGCAGGTAGCTGTGTGAAGGGAAGGGCTTTGCCTGCCTACTAGGGTCTTTGTGTAACTCTGGCTTGTCTTGGGTTGCAAGACTTTTAGTTCCAGGAATATCCCGAGTGATGCCTGACTGTTCTCACACATATTGCTCTGAATGTAACTCCTTGCATGTTCTCCAGTGGTAATTTGGAACTTTCAAAAATATTTTAATATAAAGGGGAGCACATTTTAAATATTTGTAGGTTTATTATCAAGCATTATATTTACTCAAAATAAAGCAGGTACATTTTCTTAAGACATTTTTATTCATAAAAATAAAAAGGGGACCAATGATAGAAGCAATAATAAATTTTAATATAATATATAACAAACAACTTTTTGTTTTCATCACTTCGGATGACTTAAATGATCATAGGTAAATAGGTTTATTTGTATTAATGAGGGTTTCTGAAAGCATGAAAATACTGTATCAACAAATTTAATTTCAAAATAAATTTTTTTGACTGTATTATAGAATTTACACTGTCATTTTACACAAATGAACCTTTCTAAGTTTTTAGCGCTTTCGGATCATTGTTCATTTTTGGCACTGATCTTAGGCTGTCCTCAGTTAATTATAATTTCAATCTGGTTTGATAAATATGTAATTTAATATATTACATGGAATTTAAAAAAGCATGGAATTCTACTTTTTTGAAAAAGTAAAGAATCACCGTAATTGTGTTTTTGTGATGTGAATTCAAAGCCTATTTCTCTTTATATTCAGTGTATGAATGAGAATTAATTTAAGAACAAAGAGCTTCTTGGACATCAGCACAAACTTTCCTGTTAACTAATTTTAACGAGAGTAAATAATTCATCTTTTCAAGTGTCTCCCCATCCCCCTTTAAAGCTACTGTGGTACACCACAATTAAAACTTTCTGTAAAAGAACTTAAAGAGAAGAGTCTGGATTAATTTTTAAAATATTCTTTTGATGGTTTTTTTGAAATCTAGTTACTGTGTGAATATATTGTGAAGGCATCTCATAGCCCTAAGCAGATGTAATAAACAGTCATTACTTAGAACTGAAAACCAGCTCAATTGTAACATAACCCTTTCCTCTGAGGCGATATAGCACTACCAAAAAAGCTCACAAAGTTCTCACTGCTCTGAATGGCACATTTTGTCCGTCTTCCTCCGCCCTTTTCCCTGCTCTCCCTCCCTTATTTACCGTCTTCCTTTTCTCTTTTATTTCTTCCCTCCTTCCCTCTTTCCTTCATCCCTTCTTTTTCTCTTTTGTATTTCAGGAAGTTCATTTGAAAAAATCTGCTGTTTCTTTGGATGACAGCGACATTGAAGCTCGCCTTAATAGTTGGAATCTTGGGGTAAAACAAGTATTTGTTTTATGTATGTAGATTCATGTGGCAGAATCATAGTATTTGAAAGAACATCTGAACTAATTTAATTCTATTCAGTGACTAGTATTGTATGTTCGATGTCAAGTACTGTGTTAACACTGAGGACTGTGAGCGCAGGAAAGAGAAATAACATTCCAAACAAGCATCATATAGTCTGCCCCTGACCTGCTGCCTTTTTTGTTGGGGAAATGAGACATACACATAAATAGTAAAATAATAATTTAAGATAGTAAATGATAAAATACCAAAATGAGTTAGATAGAAGAATATTGAGATGGAGGGGAGGAAAGGGAGGTGTTGGAGAAGCAAGGGTATTTGTGTTGGAAAAAAAAAATGTCAGGGAGACTTCATTGGATGAACCGCCATCATGAACAGCAGTTTTCAGATCCAAAGGCTGGGAGCATGAATGTACTTGGATGGGTGGGGAGGACAGAGCATGAAGAACGAGTGCTGGGTAAGGGATCTGTCATGACTAGGTCCTAGGGTGTATGTGGGGATTGGGGAGCAGCGTTCGCAGCTGGACTGCATGGGAGGTCTGAATGCTAAATTGAGAAGTTTAGCATTTATGTTTAAGGCAATAGTAAGCCCAGGAGGTTTATTTTATTTTTAAAATATATTTTTATTGATTTCAGAGAGGAAGAGAGAGAGAGAAAGAGATAGAAACATCAATGATAAGAGAGAATCATCAATCGGCTGCCTCCTGCTGGGATTGAGCCCGCAGTCTGAGCATGTGCCCTGACAGGGAATTGAACCCTGACCTCCTGGTTTATTGGTCAGTGCTCAACCACTGAGTCACACTGGCAGGAGGTTTATTTCTACCCCAACCCTTACATTCCGTTTTACATTTATGCTGTTAAAATGCTTTGAGGAAATAAAAAGGAGTTTAAAACAATTTTTTCCATGCTTGGTTACTATAAAAATAATTTGTAATTTGAACATTTGAAAAATACAGAAAATGAGAGGAGTAAACTGTTTTAAAATCATAACACTGAGAGATGTAACATTTTGTTTTATGTATATATCCTTTATTCTGTGTGTTTATAAAATTAAAATTTAAACAAAATTGCGGTTATATTTAAATACTATTTTATTATGTGCTATTTTAAATTTGGTTTAAGTTTATAATAGTTCTGTAAACATGAATCTTAATGGTAGCACTAATTTTTCTTTTGGATGGATATTCCATAACTTATTTAAGCACTCAGTTATTTTTGGACATTCAGGTTGCTCCCTGTTTGTTGCTAATATAAGTAATACTGCACTAAAACTACTTACAAGAGTCATTTTATACATATTCAGTTGCTTTCTTAGGTCCAGAAGGGGCATAGCAATTTATTTTCCAACCAGCAGTGTATGGGATTGTCTATTTCTCTCATTTCTTACTGACATTAGGGATTATTATTTTTTAAAAACCCAAACCCTTCTTTCTAATGATGGGCTTAATGTGCTTTAGGAAAATCAAGTAGGTGGCATTATGAAGGTGATGGAGGATGTGAGTAGAAATGGAGAGAGGGAACCAATCATCTTGTAGGTGTTCGCAATGAGCTCTGCATTAGTGTGACTTCAGTGGAGATGGAAGCACGGGAGGAAGCCCGTTTCACAGAAAATACAGGATGCTCAGTGACTGGTGGGCTGCACAGAAGGGCACCCAAAGGTTTCAGGAAATGGGAATGTTGGCTCTTCATCAGTTAGTTGATTGTCCAATGGGAGAATCCAGTTTAGGGGTTTAAAAGCTTGTTTTAGACCAGGGGTGGGCAAACTTTTTGACTCGAGGGCCACAATGGGTTCTTAAACTGGACCGGAGGGCCGGAACAAAAGCATGGATGGAGTGTTTGTGTGAACTAATATAAATTCAAAGTAAACATCATTACGTAAAACGGTCTTTTTTTTTTTTTTTTTAGTTTTATTCATTTCAAACGGGCCGGATCCGGCCTGCAGGCCGTAGTTTGCCCACGGCTGCTTTAGACTCATGGAGTTGGAAGAGATGGTACGATTAATTGGGGAGTTCAGAGTTTGGAGCTTCATGAGACTCAGGGCGGGAGTCTTCTGTCTTAGTCCCTCTGTTAGAGGGGCAGTTGTACAGGGAGGCTGAACAGACCTAGTCTTTAAGTGAGGAGGCTGGATGGGAGCACAAGTGAGGACGCTTGGCTCAGGCAGTGGCCATGATTGGAGGGCAGGGAAAGGGATAAGAATTTAAGCTACATGGATCTCAGTGATTTTGGAGTACATTAATGACAGAGAAGGGAGAAGCAGAATCGATCACAAGGGGAATAGTCAAAAGAAAAACATTTTCATGTTGGAGGGTGTTGGAGAAGTGGTCTATGTTACCAGCATGGGAGAAGAGCACAGGAAATCCCTCTGAAAGACAAATACTTTCTGCCAGAAGGCAAAATCAAAGTGAAAAACAAAATTCCGAGCCTTTTAAACTTGCCTTTGCCCTCAGCTATTTGAAACTTCTGATGTACATTTCTTAGCACATGGAAGACTTTTCATGATTACTTAACTAGTAACTGTTCGGAGGATTAAAATTTTCAATGTATAATAAAATGAAAAGAAAGCATCTAAAATATTTTGAGGTAATGCCTTAAAACTAGGCCTGCCTGAGGTTTTGTTTCACATTTTTATTGTTCAGAGAATGCACTAATAGTATAAAATATGGAAGTCTTGTATTTTTGTATATTTATTACAAACATGCATTAATCAGGCTGAGCTATGTATCTCTTGATCACAGTAGAATAATTCAGGTGTCCAGTGTATTAAAGGCTTAGGTTTTGCTTTGGTTTTAGTTTGTATGAGAATGTGCCACGGAATGTTTTTTTCCTTTCTTCTTCTGAATGATCAGTTAATAGCTGGTTAATTTTTGTGCTCTACACAAAGCAAAGTTTTTTATATTTCTAGTTTGACTGTCAATACCTTCATTTTGATGCATTAGAAGTTCTGGAATTTGAATTTTCTAGTTTATGTTAAAAATACCATTATTCTTTCTTTTTCCAGGAGTGTTAATATTTTTTTCTAGGAATATGTATTTCAAGTAGAGATTTATATACTAAGACTAGCAATTAAATTTTCCTCCTGTATTATTTTTTCTTACTCTTTAACCTTTTTAACCTTTAGTTTTTGGAAAGCTTTCTTGCTTTGTTAATATACTTTATTTAACAGGGTTCCTCAAACTTTTTAAACAGGGGGCCAGTTCACTGTCCCTCATACCGTTGGAGGGCCGGACTATAGTTTAAAAAAACAAACTCTGAACAAATTCCTATGCACACTGCACATATCTTATTTTGAAGTAAAAAAACAAAACGGGAACAAATACAATATTTGTATTTGCATGTGGCCCGTGGGCCATAGTTTGAGGACGCCTGCTTTATTATATATGTTTCATGCGTATCTCTCTTTATATAAATCTTATTTCTGAGGATGGGGTGAGGGGCCATAGGAAGGACTTTCTTGGGCTTTTCATCCCAGTTCCCATCCTGGGTCCTGCACTGATTGCAGAGCCTCACTCCCACCAGGAGCAAAGGAACAGTGAGGACTCTGAGTAGACCCTCTAGGTCCCTGGAAGCACAGCTGAGAGACCAGGACCCAGGATTGGGGGGTTGTGCAGGGAGAGCTCTCAGGACAGGAAATGGGAAGGAGCAGGGTGAGGTCAGCAGGAGTGTCTTCTCCAGACCCCTCAGGGAGCTCTGGGAGATGGACAGCACCGCAGGGTCTATCATGAAGGGTGAACCGCCCCATTGTGGTCAAGGGAGCACCTGCACGGCAGCAACTGGAGATGCTCCCTTATCTCTCTGGAGGGATTGTGGGAGGCCTGGCAATTCTACTCACTGTGCCTTTGTCACTGTGGCCACTGAGAACTGTTCCAATTGGTCACCCAGGGCTGCCGTCACTCTAGTGAGATGAGCCATCCAGTGGAGGGGCTGCCCATGTGCCGACCCACAGAATTGGGAGCTAAATCCAGTGGTTGTAGTTTGAAGCCACAAAGGTTTGAGTGATCTGTTATGCGGCAAAAAGCCAATTGATATAGTAGATACTGCCAAATCATTTTCTAGAATGCTTGTGCCACTTTGATCCTCATCAGCAGTGTGTGCCAGTTCCTATTCAGTACTTGGTGTCATCAGTTTATTATTATTATTTTAAAATATATATTTTTTTATTCATTTCAGAAAGGAAGGGAGAGGGAGAGAGAGATAGAAACATCAATGATGAGAGAGAATCATTGATCATCTGCCTTCTGCATGCCCCACACTATGGATTGAGCCAGCAACCTAGGGAATGTGCCCTGACTGGTAATCAAACTATGACCTCCTGGTTCAAAAATCGATGGTCAACCACTGAGCCATGCCAGTTGGGTGTCAGTTAATTATTTTTAATTAAAAATATGTAACTACTAGAGGCCCAGTGCATGAAATCTATGCACAGGTACGGTCCCTAGGCCTGGCCAGTGATCAGGGCTGATCGGGGCCTTCCTTCCGGCTGCCAGCCGGGGCCTCCCTTTCCCAGCTGCCGGCTCCGGCCGGCCCTGGTTACCTGAGCCTCAGGCGGCCAAGGGTGGCTGGGCAGCTGACATCCGAGCCTTGCCTGCGCCTCGGGTGTCAGTGTCAGCGCACATCATAGTGAGTGATAGAACTCCCGGTCGAACTCCCGTGGGGAGACTTTGCATATTAGCCTTTTATATATAAAGACTATCCTGGGCGGCTGGGGGGCTGAGGGTGGGTCCGGCCGCAATATGTACCCGCCGCCCCCTTGGCTGCCACCCCCAGCAGGGCTGAAAGGACTGGGAGACCCTGGCAGGGCTGAGGGACTGGGTGTCACCATCTTGTGGCTATGGGCACCACCATCTTTGTGATGGTGTGATGGTCAATTTGCATATTCCATCTTTATTAGATAGGATTCTCAAGAGTGGTTACTGACATTGCATTGTGTGTTTTTTAACATGCATTTTCTGATGACTTACAAAGTTAGATGCTTTTTAACATGTTTATTGGCAGTTTGGATAGTCTCTCAGACTGAAGTGTCTATTTAAGGCTTTGCCAATTTTCCTGTTGAGTTGTCAGGCTTTTTTCTTATCAATATGTATGAATTTTGTATCTATTCTGGATTAGAGTCCTTTTGGAATATAGTGTTATAAATATTTTCTTTCACTTTGTTGCTTTCCTTCATTCTCTTTCTGGTGTCTTTGATGAATAGAAACTTAAAATTTTAATGCAGTTCCTTTTCTCATCTTATCATTTTATATTTAGTGCTATTTTGGGTTCTATTTAAGATCTTTGACTATCTTAAGGTCCTGAAGATATTCTCCTATGTTTTCTTCTAGTAACACTATTATTTTATTTTTTCTATTTAGATCTACATACCATCTGGAGATAGTATTATATATATTGTAAGATATAGAGTTAAGATTTGTTTTTGTCACTTGGACAGTTCCATTTATTGAGAAGACTATTCTTTTCCAGATGCACTGCAGTATTATTTGTCTCATAAATCAGGTGACAGGACATGTCTGTTTCTATTCTGTTCTTTGGCTTATTTAGCTTTTCCTTGTGTCAATGGATTGTGTCTTGATATTTGTATTTTATCTGTACTCATTAAATGTTTGTTGAAATGTGAGTAAACCAATGAATGAGCCTCAATTTGTAGTATTATTTCTGTGAAAAATGTTTTTCAAGTTCCAAAATATTGACTTAAAAAACATTATTTTGGAGTGTAATTGATTTAACATTGAGGAATGAGCTTATTTTATGCAAGAGTTTTGGCAGCTTTTCTGACTGATGCTATGACTTAAAAATATTTATTTTAGGGGGTGTTGTATCTATTCTGTTAATGTCCTTTCCTCTAACACAGCCAAAATACCATATAAAATGTCTTTCTATTTTCTGGAACCATACACCATCTCTATTTGATTGACATTAGTCTATAAGGGGGTATTTGGTGAGTTTGAGCAAATCGCGAATAAGTTGAAGAAACAAATTGACAGAACCCTTTGTAACCAAACAAATGAATCTGCTAAAGAACTAAACAAAATAAAACGTCAAAGCCAGCTTTCATTAGAGAGCATTCAGATGTCTGTTTTTATGTTTAGTTTAACTTATTCTATATTTTATTATTGTGATTCTATTTGCTTCTTAAACAAGAAATGTTCAGTCATGTGGTTTACTCATGCTATTGGAACTTAATTATTTTTAGCTTTGCTTTCTATATAATATTTTGTTAGACTTTAGTATTTCACGTAAGTCCTTTTTAGCTCCCATTTTGGACACTCTTTATTGTGGTGTTCTTTCTTGAGGTATTATGAGAGAACAAGAAGTTTTCTAAAAGAGCATGAAGAAGTAAATGTTAAGACTGTTTACAGATTGCTTCAAGTCCCTGTTGCTGTGGATTACAAAGTGGGAACATTTAACTTCAAAGCACATCTGGCTGCTGTTATAAAAGTAGAGTGCTCTTTTTCCCAAATAGACTCAAGAACATGCTTTGCTATGAATAATTCTCATTACATATTAAAAGTGGTCATGAGACAAACTCAGTGTATTGTGAATGAATAACAACAACAAATTTGTCCTTGTTCACAGTATTTGTTGTTGTTTTTAAATACTAGAATAAATTTTCTCTTTTTATTTTTTTCTATTTTCTTGGTCCATTGGAAAAATGAAATTTATGATAACAGGGTGAGTCCTTAACTTCCGTGTTTAATGGCTTTTAAAGATGAAGAGCATGAACTAGGAGTTACTGCATAGTTGAAAGGCCACATTGTAGTCAGCGAAACCAGTATTTTGTATCCTGCTTGTAAATGTAGAGTGGAGTAAAAATAAGTCACAAATGGTTTTCTTGGCTTTTGGTTTTAAATTTTAAGCTTAATTAGAGCTTGAACATCTTTGAGAATTCCCTGCTTTCCTCTTCCTTTATTTTTCCCCTTAAATTTAATTCTCCTTCATGAATTAGAGGTTATGTATTTTCAGATTTACGTGTCTTTGAAGAACTTACTTTCTATGTGGGTTTTCTCTATTCTGAAAATAGAGAATAGTTAGTTACTTTTCATATGTACACCTTCAAACAATAAATACTTATCGAGTGCACTTTGCTGCCTGTTGAACCTTTGCTGCTTCTATTTTTAAAACGCCAAGTATATATAGTACAGTGTTATTTGCTAAAGAATATGCCTCTTTCTCTGGTATGATATTTCAGTGGATTTTATTGTCTTTACTTAATGAATGTTCCCCAAAGTAAATATAGTCATTCATACACCCACTGGAAGTGCTCCACATCTGGAACACTCTAATTGTCAAATTTTTAATGTATGCCAGTCTGGTGGTGGTAAAATACCATCACATTGTGATATTACTTTACATTTTTTAAAATAAACAGATTGAGCATATTTTCATGTTTGTTAGTCATTCAAATTTCTTCATCAGTGAAACGTGTCTTGAAGTTTTTCCCATTTTTTTCCTAATGGGTTGTTCTTTTTAAAATTTTAAATACCTTCTTTATACATTTAGAGACATTCATGCAAACATTCATGCAAACATCTCCTAATTTATGGCTTCTCTTTTCATTTTATTTATGAGATATTTTTTGGAGATAAGTTCTTATTTAAAATGGTCAAATTTATTAAATTTTTTTGCTTATGCTGTTTTTGTTTTCTCTTTAAAGAAATCTTTTATATTACAAGGCCATAAAGTCATTCTTCTAGATCGTCTTCTGAAAGTTCTGCTTTTAATTATAAGTATTTAATCCATTGGAAATTTATTATATATGGTGTGAGGGAGGGATCTGATCTTATTTTCTTCCACTTGTTGAACACATCCCAATTTTCTCAATAATTTGCAATGCTATATCTTTCATGAATAATATGCTCATATGTATTTGAGTTTCTGGTACTTCCTAGGTCCATTGACTTATCTTCACTGTTGTAGTTTTCTTATGTCACACCACCTTGATCTTTTTCTTCAGGTTTGTCTTCCTTCTTGTCCCTTTATTTATTTATGCACATTTTATAATAAGCTTCTTAAGTTTTTAAAAAACCCTACTTAGATATTGGTTTGGGTAAACTTGGTCACTACATCAAGTTAATGAGAATTGGCATTTTTACAATATTGAGACTATTCAAAAACATAGGCTGCAAGAGGATCATGAAAGTACAATTGTGTCTGCAGAGGTTTTGTTTTATATTTCATTTGTTAGTGGGCCACTAAAAATGGATTATGCAATAGCCATTCTAAGAAACAAGCTAAATAATTAAGACATATAGAAAACATTTTCATAAAGCAGCTTAATTCTATATTTTATCAAATAATAATTAAAGCTCAAAAATTGATAAGTCCTTATTTTTAAAATTTCAGATAGAAAATCCTCGATACCTGAGACAGAAGCCTATCCCGGTTTCTCTGGTAGGTGAGAATTCCCTTGGACTTTTCCTATGGACAGATATTTTTAAATAAAATAATCAAGTCATTTATAGAAAATAGTCTAGGTCCACATTATAAAGCATAATTGTCTTATGAATCCTATCACTTAGAAGTGGATAAATGATTTTTTTTCTCCAGTGTTGGCATCATTTTGGCATGAACTTTAGGCAATTTAGAAGTTTAGTTGGGTGTTTAGGATAAACCATGCCTGAAAAAGTATTGAATAACTCGTACTCATTCAACAGATGACTCCAAAATTCAGCCTGAGAAAATCCAGTAGTTTCCATGAGGATCATTTACTCTCTCGAATGCATGAGAAAGAGGTAGGACTGACATATTTTTTATATGCCTAATTATTGACACTATTTTTATATTTTGAATAATATGAGGTTTCAGGTTTAGTTAGAATAATGATGCATGGTAGGAAAAGGTTGTCTTTGGTACACAGATGAAGTAATGATGTAGGGTAGGCAAGGTTTGTCTTTCTATTTTTTTAAAAAAATATATTTTTTATTGATTTCAGAGAGGAAGGGAGAGGGAGAGAGAGATAGAAACATCAATGATGAGAGAGAATCATTGACCAACTGGCTGCCTTCTGCATGCCCTCCACTGGGGACGGAGCCTGCAACCTGGGCATGTGCCATGACTGGGAATCGAACTGTGATGATTCCCAGTTATAGGTTCATAGTTGGACACTCAACCACTGAGCCACTCCAGTTAGGCATGGGTACTTTTAAGAATTTCTCAAATTTAATTTCAATTTGGTTATTTTCAATTTATAAAGTTTTCTTACCACTCTATTTATAAACTATCACAAAAAGCATTGACTTTTTTCTTAGATATTTAAAACAATATCATGAACATAAAAGCTTATTTTTTTTTGTAGGTGGTGGAGGAAGAGGGCTCTTTTAAAAAAAGTCTACTTGGTATAATTATTACTGCTGATCTCAGTAATATTCTTTTCTTATTAAATTTATATGGGGTGACATTGGCTAATCAAATTATATAGGTTTCAGCTCAGTAATATTCTGTCTGTTGTTTTGTAGCTCCAATTTAAGGCATGCAGCATGTTTTTTTCTGTAATGCAATCCTAGTGTTCAAAAAAACATGCTGAAATAAAAATAAATTATATTTTAAAAATCTTTTTTGAGGGTAATACTTCTTATATTCAGATGCACCTCCTTTTGAGCTCTTGATATGAATTTCTTCCTTTTCAATAACTGTCAATTATTTTTTCAAGTCATTCCAAGTCATTTCCAACCATTTTTCCTTTTATTTTGTACTATTTTTTTACTGTTGAGGCTGTTTACCATAGAATAAATAAAATAATTGAAAGGAAGTGGTGGCTTTTTGAAATTTTTTTGGTCTTTCATGAAATAATATCTCTATGATGACATTTTGGGTCAGGGATAAGCATACCAATGCTACCCACATATGTGTTGAAAGAAAAAATATTTACAGTTACCATGTGTTGCATCAGAGATTCTTTTTTAAATGTGTGTGGTTTTATTTTTTTCCACACCCTTATGTTTTTGTTTTTCTTTTTGGCATACTATAAAAATATTTTAACATCATTGAGAAGTTTGCATGTAAACATCAACTTACTCTATATCTTAAAATACAGTCTGTGTACATTTTGGCTAAAATAACCCTTGTGCAATTACATAGTCATTTCTGACTTATTTGAAAAAATGTTTTCTTCATCCTAAAATATTTGAAAGTATATGTTGAGTGGCTTCGATGTGTGAACTGTCTTAGTTTCTACTTTCTTTTAAAGTAGTATTTATGAGTTTAAAATAGCTTATGTGGATTTTTATTGAAGAAATTTTGGAAATTATAGACATGTAAAGAAGGGAATAAAATCACGTATAAAATTAACACCTGGAAATAAAAACAGTGGTAAAATGTTATTGTATTATCTTTTAGATTTTCATTGTGTCCTTAAAATATTTTTTCTTAGAAATTTGAGAGATATATATATATACACACACACATATATATATAGTTTTGTATATTTCAAGTATTTCTCATGCTATTAAATATTGGTCCCAAACATCCATTTTTAATGTCTATATTATATTTCATACTAGAGGCCTGGTGCATGAATTTTGTGCACTGGTGGGGTCCCTCGGCCTGGCTTGCGCCCTCTTGCAATCCGGGACCCTTTAGGGAATGTCGGATAGCTGGTTTTGGCCCGATCCCTGCAGGTCTGATCCAGACAGGAGGGAGCCCGATCCCTGCAGGTCTGATCCAGACAGGAGGGAGCCTGATCCCTACAGGCTCGTTCCAGACAGGAGGGAGCCCGATCCTGTGCGTTGAGCATCCCCTGGTGATCTGTGTGTGTCATAGCGACCGGTCGACTGGTCATTTGGTCGCTTAGGCTTTTATATATATGGATTATGGATATATGCCTACTTATGTGAACTTATTCCTTTTGTTAGGTATTGAGATTGTTTATAATTTTCAATAACATAAATACCTCTGGGAAGAATATCCTTATATCTCTGTCTTTATATGCATCTCCAAATATTACTTTGGGGTAATGAATAATACCTTACAGAATTTATCTGGATCATGAAGCAGTTAGTAAAGGATTTAATTCTGTTGAAATTTTAGAGTCCTAAAATAATTAACCTTTAGAAATCAAACTTTATGAAATACAATTTCCACTTAAAATTTATAATTGTGTAGAAAATACATAGATGTTAAATGAGTAATATTTGCAGTATTATTTTATTAGAGTTAAAGAATTATAGTAGTTTTGTTTTGGTGGCTAAAAATACACCTACAAAATATTTTAAGATGTTCTTTACATTTTCAGTTTATTTGCGGCATTGTGAGAAAACATGTGCTCAGTGATAGCCATCCTTTATTTTAACTCTAGTCTACACTCACAAACATACTTGGACTTGTTTGCCTTTGTAATTGGTGACACATTTCCTGTGATAGCCACATCACAGGATTGTGTGACACTGAGCGTCATCAAGCAGTAGGTTGGGGTTTTTTTTAGTATCCTTAAAAAGATTTCTGACATAGATTAAGATGTTTGGAAAACTGTTGTCACTGAAAGTGCAAGAAGAGACAACACAATGAGGGAGATAAATTTTCAGAGCAACCATCAGTTTTTAGAGAGCAGATGGTAGAAATTGCTCTTTTGGGAAATAAAATAGAACATTTCCTTTGAACCTCACCACCCATATTGAATGTTCCTACCTATTGCCTTAGAAGGGATGTTGCTTCTTTCTTGCATGTAATGCCAATTAGGCATTTTCCCCCTTTATTTTAAGGCAGAATTTAAATAAATCCAAGATAATTAAATCCATAGTCATTGACATAATAAATGAAAGAACTGATATTTTAAAACAGTTGTGAATGTAGCATTCAAATATACAAAATCTCACAACATATAATAAATAATTATACTAAGGAATACCATTGTAAACAGGCAAGGATTAGATCATGGCCAATATCCCAAATGTTTGCTGTCTGGCCCACCCCATCATAACTCTCTTCAATCTTCCCTAGAAGTGACTACAATTCTGATTTTTCTGATGATAATTTCCCTCTTTTGTTTTTAAAGATGATTTTACCACCAATTCCTACATCCTTAAAATTGAAAATATTTTTATTGTAGTAGATTTTGAACTTCATATGACTAGAACTAAATTTTATGTATTCTTTTGTGCCCTGCTTCCCTTTATAAGTGCATATTTATATAATTTATTTAAGGAAGAACTAATTCCAATATTACAGTTATTTTTTGAGATCATAGAGAAGGGAATGCTTCTTGACTCATTTTATGGGGGAGAGCCTGACAGCAAAACCAAAAGGACATTACAAGAAATAAGTCCCAGTAAAAATAAAAATTTAATAACCAAGTTTATTAATACATTGAGAAAAGACATTTAATAAATGATGCTGGTATAACTTTTCATTTACCTGGAGAAAGTAAAACTGGGTCTTCATCCTCTAAAAACAAAAACAAACATGAATTTTGGATGTACTAAAAACTTACCTACAAATTCCCAATCAAAAAGTTTCAAAACAACACAAAAATCTTGCCAAAAAAAAAATCTAGGAATTGGAAGACCTTTCTAACCCTCAACCTTTCCAAATCCAGAAACTATAAAGAAAATTATAGAAATATTTAACCAAGTGAAATAAAAGGTTTTGTATGGTAAAGTATGTTATAAACAAGATCTATAGAAAAGTCATAGATTTGGGGGAAATATTTGGGACAGACTCTATGAATGTACAGCATACCAGGAGGTCTTACTGATTGATAGACAAAACATGGATCAAATTGTGAAAGGCCATTTCACAGAAAAACATATTCATGTGGCCCCAAACATCTGAAAGGAGCTATGAGAGGGTAGTGTTCAGGGAAATGCAAAGTAATAATGGATATTTACTCTTCTGGTAGAAATGTGAATCTACCTTTAATAGAGGGCAAAATCTATGAAGGTATATCCACCATTGACTCATCTGCATGTCTTCTGAGAATCCATCCTGTAGAAATCAAAGCCTAGTTGTAGGATGCATGTAGACAATATTTTTGTGTGGCTTTATTTGTAGTGGAAAAGCACTGGAAATAAAATGAGTATTCATTAAGGGGAATGGTTGAATAAATTTTGTTTTCTCCTCATTAAGAAATAATTGACAGCAATGAAAAAGAATGAATAAAACTATAGCAGGTATTTTTTGAGAGTGTTCCATGAGTTAGTGCGTATTCAGAGAGAGAGCAAGATGCAGAAAATATTTTTTGCATGCAAAACATTCATAATATAAAAACTATGTATTGCTAAGGGTGTAGTGATTTGAAGAAGAGAATTTATTTAGCTCTCACATAACAATCCAGAGTGTGTAGGGAGTGCTGTGCTCAGTGATGTCACTGTGGACCTGGACTAGTGGGGAAGTTCCACCATCCTCAGCATACAGCGTCAGTGTCTGGTCTGAGGTGTAGGTTGCTCTCCAATACCTTGTCTTTAAGTGCCACCCTTCAGGAAGGAAGAGCACAGAGAGAAAACCACTTTGTTTTTTAAAATGTCCAGAATCATTTCTACCCTATCATTCTCCTTGACTATACCTAGTCACACGGTCATGATACAACCATCTGCCCTGCTCATATTTGGTGGTGGCAATTGGGCCCCAAAGAAAGAAGAGGGCAGTAGATATCTGGGGACACTAGCGGTGTGCTGCAAAACCCCCTGCTGGTGTATGCATTCCTGTTCACGTTTGTGTATGGTTCTGGGAGGATGGCAGAAGACATGAAAATATGCTAGGTTGGCCCTGGCCAGTTTGGCTAAGTAGGTAGAGCGTCAGT